TATATATATATATATATATATATATATTAAAAAAAGACACAAATATACTGAATAATACAACTTTTTCATTTTAAAATGTCCAATAAAGTTGGCAACAATTGGCCCCAGACAGCCTTTGTAGCTACAAATTGATTATATCAGAATCAGACTTTATTAAATACGTGTGCACATACTACATAATACTTTAACTCCATCATTTTGCATCTCTTTTGATATATATGATAAGCTATAGTATTTAAAACCTTCTTAAACGTGTAGATGAGTGAAATCCAAAAACTGTGTCATCCCTCCTGTGGTTTAAGTTGTGAAATGTGTTTGTTTATTCGTGCCAAATGCTCTTCTTATCAGTCGCTCTGATTTGTTTCTTGGGTTCAACTGTCCCTTCCAGCAGAAGAAGTTCACACAAACTGCTCTGCTTCAGCGGCGCACCGGTTGGTGTTATCTCTTGTGATTCTGTCATAACAGTTGAGTCACTCCGGCTCAAATCCACCTGCAGATTTTCCTGTGCCAGTAACTTTACTGAGTGAAACACACAGGAGTGTTTGGGCTGATAAGCGCAAGACGTCCCTGTTAAATGTTTGTGAGGATAAAAGAGCCACCGAATGATATGATAAGATAAATGATTAAACTGCCTGTCTCTGTCCACACCAACCAGCGTCGGGTCGTGACGATATCAGTGTTTTGCTCTTAGTTGTTACTAGTCTTATAATGTGACAACAATGTCTTCTAAAGCAATGACATGCTGTGTGTCCCAACAGGACTTGAGGCCCAGATGGACGGTGCTGGACTCCCTGCTGTGTGGGGCATTCGCTGGAGCAATCGCCAAAACAGTCATAGCACCTCTGGATCGGACCAAGATCATTTTCCAAGGCAAAAACAACACTCCATACGCACAAAGATCTCTTTCCAACTATAGAATCTAGTGCAGAACACAGGCTGCTGTGCACTGATAATGCAACCACTGTTTTTCTGTTTTCACTGACTGTTGTAAGTGTTCTTACCTCATTGCTAATCCTCTTAGTAGATGTTTAGCCCGTGTGTTCTGTTCTTTAACCCTGAGCTTCACTGTGTTTCTTGTTGCTCCACAGTGTCCACCAACAGATTCTCAGCTAAGGTGAGTTCAGCAAATCAGTCAGTGATGTATTCTAATATGTAGCTACACTGGCGGGACAGAGTTGAAAGGCGTAATGTATTAATGCTGGAAATGAATCTGTGATAATTTAAATAATTGATTTATTGCTTGTTATTTATCAAGTATAAATGAAAAAAAAACACTCATTTGGTGGTTACAGATTCTAATATGAATATTTCTTCATTTTATACGGTTTTAAATTAGCGCTGCACAATTAATCAAGATTGTATCACATTCGCAACGTGGCCTACTGTAATTTTTCAAAAACGCAAGAGGTACAATGTTTTATTAAAGGGGTAAGATCCAAGATTGTGAGCATTTCGATTCCCTCTCGACGGCTCTCAACATGTCGACCACGAGCCGATAGCTAACGGTGCTAACAGCGCAGTCAAAACCGTGGCGAAAATGCAGACAGAGCTGACAGTGTTTACCTGAGGGGGAACCGCAGGGTTGGGTGCTGCGCTTTCATAATGACCCGTCTGGTCATGACGGCGTTATCGGCAGTAACAGTCGTATGAGAGCCTTATTCTAAATCAAGTAGTTGTGTATTTTTGTGACAGAGAAAACAAACAAAACAGACAAAATAAGTCATGTTTGGCACCTAATAAGATGGAGAATGTTTGATTTTTTGACCTTTTGTATATTGAACAATTATTAAATCAATCAAAAAAATATCAAAAACAACCCTAGTGGGAGCTCTGGGATGCATCTGGTAGATCTTTGCTCTCGTATTACTTTATAAGCCTTTATGTCACAGTCACACACATTAACTCCTAAAGACTACAGCTCATTGTGCACTTTGAACACATCAAGTTTATTAGATGTGGAAGACATGAAGGGCGTCTGTCTGTGCTCCTAACCCAACCTATCCATCACCACCAGGAGGCCTTCAGGCTCATCTACTGCTCTTACATGAAGGACGGGCTGCTCAGCCTGTGGAGGGGGAACTCTGCCACCATGGTGAGGGTCATGCCCTACGCTGCCATCCAGTTCTGCTCTCATGACCAGTACAAAAAACTACTGGGGGGCTACTACGGCTACCAGGGGAAGTGAGTAGAGCGTTTGTCTTTAAGTAGCAGGGATTTTATTCATGTATTTTAAGATAAAACATGTTGGATAAGTTGTTAGCCATGCTAGCGGCGTAATAATGTTTGTTATCAACATGTTATTATTGTCGGTTTCAGCATGCATTCAGAATGTTTTAAAATGTTTTTATTATTATTTACTACAGATTATTGTGTTGTTTGTTTCAGAGCTCTGCCTCCTTTCCAACGCTTCCTGGCTGGCTCTCTGGCCGGCACCACCGCTGCAATGCTCACCTATCCTCTGGACATGGTGCGAGCCAGGATGGCAGTCACAGCCAGAGAAATGTAAGCACCCATCCCCTGTTTGTGAGTCCCATCACACCCACTAACCCTCTACCGAGGGGTCCCTCTCTTGTGTGTATTGGTCCCATTGTTGCCTTACCACTACAATAAAATGGTCTAAAATGTCACTCAATGTCCTATAATTCCTCTCATAAAGGAATTGGTAAACGATGTCTTGCCTGGTGCTTTTTCTTGGGACAGGTACAGCAACATCATGCACGTCTTTGTGCGGATCTCCCAAGAGGAGGGCGTCAGGACCCTTTACAGAGGCTTCACTCCCACTATCATGGGTGTCATTCCATATGCAGGGATCACATTCTTCACATACGAGACCCTCAAGAAGCTGCACACAGGTACCGATCGTTTTACTTCTCTTTTAAAGGGACAGTGTGGGGGATTTAGTGGCAATCTAGCAGTTCGGTTGTAGATTGCAATCAGCTGAATACCCCTCCACTAAGCCCTTCCTAAAGTGAGCTTCCGAGTGCAAAACGGTGGCAAAGCCGTGGTATCTATCAGCACTAACATAACATTGCCTTAGTGGCAACAGAAATCAGGCGGTGTTTGGCGATACAACAGTGTAGCACTCTGCTTCTCACATTACCGCAGCTTCACAAGCTTCAGGTAACATGAAAACACTGAAGGCCCTCTCTAGAGTCAGTAGCTACTGTAGAAACATGGCGATGCAACACAGCAAACTCTGCAGAAGAGGACCCGCTCCCTATGTAGATAAGAAGGGCTCATTGTAAGATAATGAAAACATAACAGTTCTTAGTTTCAGTTGATGATCCACTCATGAAAACAAAGCTTTCTGCTAACAGATCCCGCTAAATCCTACATAATGCTCCTTCACTGTCTTCAATACGTTACATTCATATTATAGTAAAGTGCCATTTTCGATTTGAAGAATGAAAAATGTGTCATTCAGATGTTGAACTCTTTCTTCCTTTGTGTTCCCCCCCCCCCCGCTCTAGAAAAGACTAAGCGACCCCAGCCGTACCCACTTGAGCGCCTGGCTTTTGGGGCCTGCGCTGGCCTTATTGGACAGTCCGCCTCGTACCCTCTGGACGTGGTGCGTCGCCGCATGCAAACGGCCGGCGTCACCGGCTGGTCGTACGGCACAATTCTGGGGACCATGCGTGAGATCGTAGCGCAGGAGGGAGTCGTACGTGGACTGTACAAAGGCCTGAGCATGAACTGGATTAAAGGACCCATCGCCGTGGGAATCAGCCTCAGCACGTTTGACATCACGCACAGCCTTCTGCTCAAACTGCATCAGATGGGCTACTTCGCCCACTGAGACCCATTTGGGGCAAGAAAAGCGAGAAAAAAGAGCTCAGACTGACTGTGAGGGAGGTGGTTAACCCTGTCACATGGCAGCAATGAGGGGCCGTCCAGCTGCACGCTCCTGTTCTTCAGACCGGAGGACCAGAGATCTGTTGTGCACAAAGAAACACAGTTCCTCACACTTACGTAAACGCATAGTCGGGATTCACTAACGGAGAAGGAGCGAGAGAGGAGGCCGGGAAAAGTCTTTAAATCGTTGTTCACTCAATCACGACTTTGTTTTCAAATCACGTTGCCGTCGAGGCGAAAGTGATGAACAGAGCAACAGTGGATCGAGAAAAGATTAGTTCTCGATGGACAATATGGAGCACTTTGTGTCGTGTTAATAAGATAATGCTTGCACTTTACTAGACCTACAAGAGAGAACTTGAGTTTTATTGCTTTTAATTTGGTGAGAAATTTTATTTTAATTTGAATCAAGTTGCTTTGTTTTCCTTTTGATCGTTTGAAATGAGCCGATGAGCTGATTATGCAAGGGTATGCTTTGTAATGAAAGGGCGATTATGCAATATGTTTTGTTTTCATCTCTAGTTATACGACGGTGCCGCTGTGGGTTTGAGATTAACCGGGCGATGGATTGCAGGAGGGTGATCAAGTCAGTAGGACTGCACACTTTCACTGTCCGTCCTGCAGTGAGGAGGCGTTGTATTGTATTAATATGTCTAATAAGTGGGCTCAAATCAAATGTATGACAAATAAATCTATATATACACAACAAGAGTTTGTTTTATGTGCATATTATTAAGATGTCATTGTTGTGCAGCAGACACTTCAAGGAGTTGTTTGCCTGAAAATGTTTAAAAATGTCCAAAGCACTTCAATCAATTCTACGTTTCCTGTGAATGATTTGATTTTCACTGCTGATGTACATTTGAAATCTACAGTGTTTCCTTTCACAGCTGTGAACAATGAGTCCTTTTGTCCACTTGAGGGCGTCATGTGATAAGCAAAGCTAATCGCACCATCAGCGACATTACAACTGCTCTTAATTTAGGCTAGGAATGGTTACAATGATATTGTACTGAAAGCACAAAGATCTTCAATTTGTAATGTTATGATCACTGACTTTTATTTGCATTGTCACGTGGTCTTAATTACATAACCATTCTATCAATGACAGGTTGTTTTTTACACTTATTTCCCTCAAAGCCGGTGATATTTAAGATAAACTTAAACTGTTAATAAGTGATTACATCCAATATATAATACGTAATGTAAAATGACAGCATAAATACAGTTTCATTTGATGAATCACACTTAACCCACGTGTGTGTGTGAGACCACATATCCCTTTACTTCCAGTAGATGGCAGCATTGAGTGGCTCCTCGTCTCTGTGCGTCCTGGTCCATCATGGAGGTTAGTTCGGCTCTGATCACCTCAGTGGCCTGAACTTGACCCGCCCTCCGCTCCCTGAGACGCTCTTACTCTTATTTTTACGGTATTGTTTTATTTCACTCAAACGTTCCGTGCAAACCGTCTCTTACTGGAGGTCTTCATGTGTCAATGCTACAAAGCAAAATATTGTAAAACATAAATTTATGAATTCATACCACAAAACACTGCAGAGGGAAATCACACAGGGAAACATTGCATAAATAATGTATGTAATGTGTTGTTTTTTACATGCATGTTTTATACGTAGATGTCAAAATGATGATCGCAGTGAAACTGAAAGAGAATTATAATTTATTTTTAAAGAAATGTAAAGAAATGAAGAACTCATGCATGCAATCCTTCTTTGAATGATATTTTCATTTTTGTGTTGTTTATATGGAGTCTATTACAAAGCAATTTATTTAAAAAACAGACCAAACAAATACCCCAAAATTAGTAGCTTTTTTTGGTAAACATGAGAAAACTAAAATGATTTTAATCACACACATTTAGGATGTAAATAACATTGTTTTTTTTACCCTTCCATCAGATAGATTAAAGACTGATGCACACATCTACCCAAATCTTAATATCAGAATTACTTAATACTAATACTTTTTTTATGAAACTTTACTTAATACTGCACTTACACTTACTATTTAAAACATTTTTATTTACTCGTGACATCCTGATAACTGCTTCAAATAAAATGAATCAGGTATTTGAGTAACGGTGTGCTGCATTCATGGGTCATATTCTTTTTCCGTGCTCATCCTGTTTTTGCTGCACTGGTTAGTGCGCATGAGCTGTGACTAAATCTGAATAGGAGGTGAGTGTGTTCCGGCTCCGTCGCATCGTTCACCACCTGAGATCGTTGCCCTTTCTTTACAAGTCGTCTCCTGAACTTCACGTCTGAGCAGCTGGAAGGAAGGAACTCTGCCCATCTGTCCGTCCTCCATCCCTCCATCTCTCATCCTCTCCTGCCCGTATGACCTTGACTATGAATTATGGGATATTCTGCCATCCGACGGTGTGCAGCCACCCAGCCTGGTATTGCAACAATCGAAACAATGCCACTGGGTGGATAACATGGTCGGAGGGCGGGTGCCTGAGAGAAGCAGGAGGAGGAGGAGGAGGAGGAGGGGTGGGGAGAAGATGCTTCTTGAAGGTGCCGTTGCTATAGGTAACCTGGATCTGTGCCAGGAGATGGGAGTGAACAATTTGCATGTATTCAAATCTGGCATGAATAATTCACTTTGAAGCCCCCTGCTGGAGCACTGGCAGACAATAGCTGTTCACACACACAAATGCACAATATATGGGCCAAAATGCACACAAATACAGCGTTCCCAGCACACACCAACCCGGCCGGATCCTGTGTGAGAAAGGTGAGGAGGTTACTCTGGGGGGCATGCAGGAATAAAGCCTCTCTCACATCTAAATCAGACCCGGATGCGGTGAGACGGCGGCCTCGGCTGTAATATCATTTTGCATGTGTTTTCACAGCTCGTTCTGTTTCTGTTCAGATGCACAAGCAGGCATAGCTGCTGTTTGACTTTGAGCTTATACCGGGGATGTCACGCCCCGGGAGTCTGAGGAGGGAATGTATAGTACACAAATGCATTCACACACACACACACACACACACACACACACACACACACACACGTGTTCACACCCCTGTGGTGCCCTGCAAACGCCACACTGGCTGGGATCCTTCACTTTGAAGGCCAGCTTCTCAAGCACCTGGCTCCACTGCATAAATTCACCGGCGTAAAAAAAATAAAGAAGCCTTGAGAGGCATTTTATCAAACATAAACAGGCCTGTAAACGTTTCCCGCAAACTCGCCTTAGAAAAGCAAAGAAGCAAGAGAGAGAGAAAAAAAAAACAAATCACGTCGCCGTGACTATAAAACTCAGTCAAGAAGAGCTATAATCCCTCTCCATGCATGCATGCTGATATTTACAAGTGGTACAGGGACGTCATCCTCTCCCTGCCGCACAACCTCGCAGCTCCCTCTCCCCATAGCTCAGTCTTGTTAATTTTATAAGATCCAGCATATTGCCACTTATCGGCTGGCAGCGTTGTAAAAGCTCCGGGGTCAGTGCATTACTGAGCTGCTGGGCTCCACTCTTCCATTAGAGGGAGTGTTCAGGCTGCGTTGGCCTTCACTCAATCAAATGCGGGCTGCAAACGGCTGCTCCAAGTGCAGATGAGGGGGCACAAACACACATTTTCTCTCTCACACACACACACACACAGACTCCTTCAATCCCTGGTTGTGAAACTATAGGGCGCATAAATCTGAGCACATAAATCCAGGCACACACTCACACACACACACACACACACACACACACTCACACTCACACTCAGTATGTGCTTGTCCTCACTGTTTGGAGCCCGGAGGGGGGCAACACATTCATTTGCATGGAGTGTTTGCATTTATAGAGAGTAAATGCATATAGGTGTGGATGTGCTTGTATTGCAGCTGACATTTTCACCACTTGGCATTTGAACAGATTCCACACTAAATGAAATGTAGCTCCCCCCCCCCCCCCCCCCCCCCCCCCCCCCCCCCCTCATCCCGATCTCTGGATCAGGTGAGACTCATGAGAGGTGGAGATGAGCGAGCAAGCGAGGAGTGAGAGTCAGGGAGAGAGAGGCTGATTTAGTGCAGATGCTAAAATGGAAATTTAAATAGGATTTGTGCTGGTTGGAGTATGTGCAGTGCAAAAATTATTTTTCACAATCAGTCATGAAATTAGGTCAGTTTTATGCCAGTGCCTGTCAGGGTAGTGTCAAGGTCAAAGGAAGAGAAGATGGCTGTTAATGCGAGCTCTGCTGCATTCCTCCCTCACAACTAATTATGATGATATAGTAAGTACGCCTCTGACTTCATTCTCCTTCCTTTCTCTTGTCTCAATGCCACAGACTCAAAATGCTTCATTATAATTCAAGGGAGAGTTGTTAATTCAAATGTGACATGTTAAGTGTAAGTATACAGCCTCTCGTACAGGAAAGCAGCAGGATGACAGCCTTAGTTGTCGATGTTCACGTCATATATGTTTTCACAAATGGGTTTCTTTCCATCCTCAGCGTCACATGTTCGCAGACCGAGCACACATAAAGAAAGGGGCACTCTATGGCCTCAGTGAATGAGTGTGTGCCCGTTTATAAACATGCATGTATTTCTCCTGCAGGAGTAAAAGGCTGGGGGGACGGGGGGACGGGGGGGGGGGGGAAGGAGACAGACTTTGCATGAGAATGGGCCGGGGTCCTGTGAACCTTCTGCTCCCTGTGTCCACACTCAATGGCATCTCTGCAGTTAGCATGACAAACTAGGCTCCAAGTTCTCGGACTTTTATTCAAGCAGCAGACCCCCCCCCCCCCCCCCCCCC